TATGGACATTTTTACTTGGCGTGAAATTATCACAACTAGCCTATTAAACATATAGTGTATCCAAACAATTATTACAAACAGAATACCCACCCACATGCAAACACAAAACTGAAACCTTTTTATTTTCTTCTGACAATAGCACCTCCTAAAGGAAGAAATGCATCTTCTACTTGCATTGGAGAGTTCAGTTTGTAACCGTTCCATAATCAATTTTTTTTCTTTTCTTTTTTCAATTTTTTGGAAAAAAACAAGGCTTCAGGAAAAAAACGGGGGGGGGGGACGGTTTTTTTTCTGAATTTTTCCAGTTTTTTTCCGGCCCTTCACATCTCTAGCTCTGCTTCTGGCTGGCTCCTTTTCCTGGCTCAGCCTTACTACTTCTTTTTGGTCCTTTCGTGGAATTTTCTCACCTCCCCTGCCAGGGGGAGCAATAGGAGACCAGCCTTCACGTCAACTACCCTTCTGCTAAACGGCCCTTTCCAAGGGGCCTCTTTCTCTTGCAGCTGGAGACACACACACACACACACACCCGTGTTCCTCAGCCTGGCATGCAAGCCTTCCTCCAGAGCACTCTTTTCACAACCCGTTCTAGTGGTAGTTGGGTTCCAAACCAAACTTGTGTTTGCCTAGGAGCAAGTGTTCTTTTTCGTTTGCCTTGTTTTAAAGATGTCTAATTGAGCCAAAAAGCATCTGAATTGATGTTCATAAGAACATCAGAACATAAGAGATGCCAATGTTGGATTAGGCCAAAGGCCCATCCAGCCCAACACTCTGTGTCACACAGTGGCCAGAAATACCAGGTGCCAGCAGGAGGTCCAGCAGTGGGGCCAGGACATTAGAAGCCCTCCCACTGTTGACCCCCCCCCAAGCACCAAGAAGACAGAGCATCACTTGCCCCAGAGCCCCTATCTATACCTTGTGGCTCATAGCCACTGATGGACCTCTGCTCCATATGCCTAATTCCCTTTTGAAGCCGTCCATGCTTCTAGCTGCCACCACTTCCTGTGGCAGTGAATTCCATGTGTTCATCACTCTCTGGGTGAAGAAGGACTTCCTTTTATCCGTTCTAACCCGACCGCTCAGCCATTTCATAGAGTGCCCACAAGGAGTTCTTGCATTGTGAGAAAGGGAGAAAAGTACCTCTTTCTCTACCTGCTCTCTTTCCCTTGCATAATCTTATAAATGTTCATATTTGAAGACTTGTGTGTGATGCTTTTTGGCTCAGTGACGTGTCTTTGGAGTAGGCAGATGTGGTTGCAACATGTTCTGCAGATGTTCTTTGGTGTTTTGAGGAGCTGCCAGGGGGAGGCCCCCGTGGGGATTCCCCTAAGACCCTCTGACGGCTGACTCCTTCTGCCATAGGCACAGCGGGCAGTTTGGCACCATAAACAACTTCCGTCTGGGTCGCCTCCCCAGTGTCCCTGTGGAATGGAACGAGATCAACGCGGCCTGGGGGCAGACTGTGTTGCTTCTCCATGCTCTCGCCAACAAAATGGGCCTAACCTTCCAGAGGTAGGTGTGGGGGCAGACGCTCTCTCTTCTTGGGCACTGGGCCATTCAGGCGGGAGGACTAACCGGGTTCCCCTGTCCCCCCCCAGGTACCGCCTCATCCCATACGGGAACCACTCTTATTTGGAGTCCCTCACAGACAAATCCAAGGTAAGAAGTCTGGTTTCCTTAATTTTTGAAGCTGCCACAGGCTTTGAGAAGGCTCCAGGAAAAGGGAGGGGGTTTTTTTTTGTCAGGCAGTTACCCCTTGCGTGTTCTTCTCTGCAGGCGAGAAAGTCTAAGCAGTGGAACATGTTTTCACACTAGGAATAAGGCCCGTTGTGGAAATAAATAGAACAGGCTCTAGAAAGAGGCTCTGGGCAGGTGCCCCGGCCTTGGGCACTCAGCGTCGATTTGCTGTGGCGACCCCTGCAGGGTATAATGACACAGAGTCCACCATTTTCTCCTGGGGAACTGATCTCCAGCCCTCATGTGGAGATTGACAATAATGGTTCCCCATGAGGAAAAGTGCAGTCTTCCTCCACAGTGGGGACCAAAGCCGCTTACCTCATTCTCCTCTCCCCCTTTTGATCTGCACAACAACCCTGTGAGGTAGGTTAGGCTGAAAGTCTGTGACTGGTCCAAAATCACCCACTCAGCTTCCACAGCAAGAACCTAAGTCTCCCCCTGGAGAAAATAACTGCTTTGGAGGGTGGACTCTATGACATTCTATTCAGTTGAGGCCTCTCCCATCCCCAAACTCTGGCTTCCATAGACTCCACCACAAAATCTCCAGGAATTTACCAACCTGGAGCTGGCAACCCTAGTCAGGACTGGCCCCAATGAGTTCCCCACAAGGTCCAGACTAGGCCTGGAAAGGGCCTCCCGCCTTTGCCTTTTTACTGACAGAACCAAGCTTGGTTGCCCAGCAAGAGCCACTGAGGAGAAAGTGAAGCACACAGCAGTTTTGACACTTTATTCAGACAGGGCATGGCAGTGGGCGGGGGAGAGGAGCGAACCCAGCCAATAGCACGTGAGTACTCTTGACTGGCAGTTGATGGGCCAATGGCTGATGGAGCTCACAGCATAGCCAATGGGAGAGCTGGAAAGTGCCAACATACTGGGCTTATATATATATGTATACACACACACACGATAATCTGTTTACAGAGTAGGGTGAAAACTGCTTAGAAAAAATAAAGTGCTTTCCCCCTAGATTCAGTGTGGTTTTCCTATGGGATTGGCTCGGCTGTGTCTCCATTTTTTACTCAGTGCTCTTTGCAAGAGTCAAAGTTTTGGTTCCCTCCAGCCAGCTTTCCCCCTTGCCTAGTTCTCCTAACCACAGCCCAAGTCCTACATAGCTTTTTTAAAAATGCCAGGTCCGATGATAGCTCTTTTGAGTGGTCAAAGGAAGGCTCTTCCTTCTTTCAGCAGCAATGCTGGTTGGATCTGACCCTCTTTTCTCTCTTCAAGAAGCTGAAAAGACCAGTGTCTCTGTGTTCTTAGGGCATCTGCAGAACAATGTTTTTTGGGTTTCTGGCATCCGTGTTTGTGTCTTCAAGGAATTGCCCCTTTACTGTTCAGGCGGCTTGCGGTTTTTCTGGGACAACAAATTTGATCATGCCATGGTAGCGTTCCTGGATTGTGTGCAGCAGTTCAAAGAGGAGGTGGAAAAGGGTGAGACGCGCTTCTGTTTGCCTTACAGGTAAAAAAAAAGAAAAAGTCTTGTTTCAAGGTAAATGCAGAGTCTTTTTCTCAGTAGTAAACTGCACAGTGATGTAATCTGGATAAAAGTATTTATTTATTTGTTTCTTCAAATTTGTACCCCGCCCTCCCTGCCCTAAGGATTTCATTGCCCCTGGCTGTTTCCGAGGGCCTTTAACAGGCGGCTTCCAAAGCTGGCCGCATCTTCCCTTCGACTGTCATTGAACTTTGAGATATCCAGTAGTGGAACCGCCATGTTCAGAGGCAGCACTGATCTGTGATTTAGCCCATGCTCGCACTTGAGATGCAGCAACGGTTGCCGTTTTGCTTTCTTTGCAAGTTGCTTTGTGAGCATGGAATGTGCCCATGTTGGAAACCATTCTTTGTGTGTGCGTGCGCCTGGAAGTCATGGCGACCTCTGGTGACTGACCCCTACTGGAGGCCTGGAGGATATTCAGAGAGGTGGCTGAATGAAGCCTGCCCCTGCCTCCTGACTACTGGTATTCCAAGGAGGTCTCCCATCCAAGTCCTTGCCAGAGTTGACCCTGCTTCGCTTCCGAGATCTGACGATATTGAGTTTGCCAGGGCTATCCAGGTCAGGGCATGGCGGAAACCATTCTTGTTGCTTGTTTTAAAAGGACTTAATAAAATACTTATTGATGCATGGACAAGTCAGTAGCGAGGAATCATCTTCCCTTCGACTGTCATTGAACTTTAACTCTGAGATATCCAGTAGTGGAACCGCCGTGTTCAGAGGCAGCACTGATCTGTGATTTAGCCCATGCTGGCACTTGAGATGCAGCAACGGTTGCCGTTTTGCTTTCTTTGCAAGTTGCTTTGTGAGCATGGAATGTGCCCATGTTGGAAACCATTCTTTGTGTGTGCGTGCGCCTGGAAGTCATGGCGACCTCTGGTGACTGACCCCTACTGGAGGCCTGGAGGATATTCAGAGAGGTGGCTGAATGAAGCCTGCCCCCATCTCCGGCCTCTGGTATTCCAAGGAGGTCTCCCATCCAACTACTTGCCAGAGTTGACCCTGCTTCGCTTCCGAGATCTGACGATATTGAGTTTGCCTGGGCTATCCAGGTCAGGGCATGTCGGAAACCATTCTTGTTGCTTGTTTCAAAAGGACTTAAGAAAATACTTACTGATGCATGGACAAGTCAGTAGCGAGGAATCACCAGTTGGGTCCAGAAGTTAGTAAATACCTTGTTGAGAGGGAATCATGGCTGCTGCCTTGAAGAAGATATCCATAAAGCTGCTCTTCAAGAAACTGTCCTTGGACCTGGGCAACTGGCTGCGAGACTATGATTCAAATTTTGGATGGGGTTGCACCTAGATGTATTTCCGTTCGGCACTGGAACTATCTCATGGAGGAGAACCTAAGTTAGGACTGAGACCAGTGTTCCCTCTAAGCTGAGTCAGTGTGAGCTAGCTCACAGATTTTTAGCCTCCAGCTCACACATTTTTTACTCCGCTCAGGAAGGAGGGCTCCAGAGCAAACTAATTTATGCAGTAGTCAGATTGCTCGCTCACAACTTAGTGCCAATAGCACATAAAGTAGACTTTTTGCTCACAACTCTCCACAGAGAGCCAGTTTGGTGTCGTGGTTAAGTGCGTGGACTCTAATCTGGGAGAACCGGGTTTGATTCCCCACTCCTCACTCCTCCACTTGCACCTGGCTGGATGACCTTGGGCAAGCCGTAGTTCTGATAAGAGCTGTCCTTGAAAAAGCTGTTTGTGTCAGAGTTCTCTCAGCCCCACCCACCTCACAGGGTGTCTCTTGTGGGGAGGGGAAGGGAAAGGAGTTTGTAAGCCGCTCTGAGACACCTTTGGGTAGTGAAGGGCCATGGAGCATAAATCCAATCTCCTCCTCCTCCTCCTCCACAGCTTAGAGGGAGCATAGATTGAGGCTGAGGTTTTTCTGAACTTCCTGCCCGAGTGTGGTCAGAAGCTACCCTAGAGGGCAGATCCCAGGGTGATACTGGGGAGGATTCTCAGTCATCCCTCTGGCATTTGTGCCTTCAGGGTTCTGTTGTGTCCAGTGTTCCCTCTAAGCTGAGTGAGTGTGAGCCAGTTCAGTTTTTTAGCCTCCGGCTCACAGATTTTTGTCTCAGCTCAGGAAGGAGGGCTCCAGAGCAAACTAATTCATGCACTAGCCAAATCACTCACTCACAACTTTAATGCCAGTAGCTCACAAAGTACAATTTTTGCTCACAAGACTCCACAGTTTAGAGGGAGCATTGGTTGTGTCCCGCGTGCTTTGCAACATTTTCATGAAACCGCTGCAGGAGGAGCTTCAGAGACCCAGCGTGAGAGACCATCAGTCTGCTGATGGCATCCAGCTGTTCCTCCTTTTCATCTGACCCAGGGGAGGGGAGGGGAGTGCTGATCAGGCGCCTTGAATCAGGAATGGACCGGAAGAGGGCTCTGGCTAAATGGTTCAGGGGCTTTGAGAAGTGGCATTTGTCATGCTCCTTCGAAGATGAGTTCACAGGACATAGAACTTGGATGCTTGGCTGGCATCACATTTGCTAGGCAGAGGGCCCTGCTGCAGTTATTCTTGCCCTTATAATGTCTGGGGTTAAGCTACTGTAGTTATACATGAGGCCGCCCTCTTTGCTTTACGACACAGAAGGTAGACATCCACCGGCTGAACTAGACTGCTTCAGTTTTGACATGTCTTGCCAGAGTTTAGCGTAGATACCAGTTTGTTTCCAAGCAGCAGTCACAGTGATGGCTCTGGCCTCCGAGCCACAATATGTGAAGGACTTAAGTTCTGCTTCAGAGGCTCCTGCTTTCAGGAGCAAGGCGGGTTGTTATGACTGCATAACCCGATGGGAGCTCCTTGTTTATGGAATGTTCTCCCCAGATGAGGAAGGGGCTAACATCATATGTTCAGGCTGGGGGAAAAAATAATTTCCCAAGGTTTTCAATGGCTTAAAGGAAAGGGCCCATGGCTCAGCGGTGTAGAACATTTGCTTTGTATGCAGAAGGTCCCAGATTCAGTCCCCAGCATCTCCAGTTACAAGGGTAAAGGTTCCCTTGTTCGAAAGCCAGTCGAGTCTGACTCTAGGGTTGCGGTGCTCATCTCCGTTTCCAAGCCGAAGAGCCAGCGCTGTCCGAAGACGCTTCCGTGGTCACGTGGCCGGCATGACTAAGCACCAAGGCGCATGGAACGCTGTTCCCTTCCCACCGAAGTGGTGCCTATTTATCTACTTGCAATTTCTTGCTTTCGAACTGCTAGGTTGGCAGGAGCTGGAACTAGAGACGGGAGCTCACTCCGTCATGCGGCACACCCGGGTCTTGAACCGCTGAACTACCGATCTTCCACAGCCTGCAGTTCAGCGTCTTAACCACTTGAGCCAACGCAGCTCAATGTGATGTGAAAGACCTCTGCCTGAAACGCTGTAGATAACATAAATTGACCTTGACAAATCAACTCTCTGACTCCGTTATAATACAGCGTCATGTGTTTATGTGACTTGGTTACAGCTTCTCGTTGTGTCTTCTTTTTTAATTTATTGCTCATCTGCTTGTGCCCAGCTCTATTTTATAGGTTTTTTATGTGTTGCTTATACTCTTGTGGGTCTTACGTTTTAATTATTGTAACTGGAGATTTTACATGGGGGGAAAAGATATTTAGATGCTGTATTCTTGCAGGGTAATTTGGGCAGACTAGCAGTAACGCCAGGCCACCTAGAACACTCCTTGTTCTTGCTTATTCAGCTCAGTGTAATAACAAGATTTTATTTATTTATTAAATTCGATTTTAAGCGGCCCTTCCCCGTGGAACAGGGCTCATCAGTATAAAACAAGGCAGTATAATCAGTATAATAAAAGCATATTTAAAATCCATACTATAAACACAGTAGTAGTAACCTGGCTCAAGTGGTTAAGACGCTGAACTGCAGGCTGTGGAAGGTCGGTCGTTCAGCAGTTCGAGACCCGGGTGTGCCACATGATGGAGTGAGCTCCCGTCTCTAGTTCCAGCTCCTGCCAACCTAGCAGTTCGAAGTAGAAATTGCAAGTAGATAAATAGGTACCACTTCGGTGGGAAGGTAACAGTGTTCTGTGCGCCTTGGTGTTTAGTCATGCCAGCCACATGACCACGGAAACGTCTTCGGACAGCGCTGGCTCTTTGGCTTTGAAACGGAGATGAGCACCACATTATGGATCAGTTGCCGTTTCCAGGTCTCAAGGATAGCCCTACGTAAAGTGAGTGACAGTAGTCTAATCTCGAGGAGACTGTTGCGTGGATTATTGTGGCTAGGTCAGGGCGAGACAGATAGGGGGCTAGTTGCCAGACCTGGCACCACTGGAAGAACCCAGAAAGAAACTGTCTGGCAACGTTTCTGATCTCGGTCTCCATTGATGAGGCATCCAGAATCACACCCCAACCCTGAATCTTCCCCCCACCCCTTTCCAGCTACATAACTTCTGTCTTCACAGGATTCAGTCTCAGCGGGCTCCATTTCAACCATCCCACCACAGCCTCAAAGCACTCAGCCAGGTTTACTGGGGCAGTGTCCAGCCGGCCACCCATCAACCGATATAGCTGGGTGTCATTGGCATATGGAGGAGCTGCGGTGGCTCAAGGGGCGTGCTTTGCAACATTTTCATGAAACCGCTGCAGGAGGAGCTTCAGAGACCCAGCGTGAGAGACCATCAGTCTGCTGATGGCATCCAGCTGTTCCTCCTTTTCATCTGACCCAGGGGAGGGGAGGGGAGGGCTGAGCAGGCGCCATGAACCAGAAATGGACTGGGAGAGGGCTCTGCCTAAATGGTTCAGGGGCTTTGAGAAGTGGCATTCGTCATGCTCCTTCGAAGACTGAATCAGCTGGCTCCATTTCAACCATCCCACCACAGCCTCAAAACGCTCAGCCAGGTTTACTGGGGCGGTGTCCAGCCGGCCACCCATCAACAGATATAGCTGGGTGTCATTGGCATATTGGTGACGTCCCAGCCGAACACTCCACACCAGTTGGATGAGGGGGTGCATGTAGATGTTAAATAACACGGGAGAGAGAACTGCCCTCTGAGGGACCCCGCATACGAATGGGTGCCTAGTTGGCAATCTCTCTCCTAGTGGCCACCCTCTGTCCCTGACATTGGAGAATAGAGGTAAGCCACTTCAAGGCTACCCCACGAACTCCTATGTCCGTGAGGCAGTGGGTCAAGAGATCGTGGTTGACCGTGTCAGAGGCTGCTGTAAGATCAAGCAACCGCAGCAGCAGCAGCAGCGCCAATCCACCTTGTGGCAGCTGTTTGTGGAGATCATCTATGAGGGTGACCAATGCTGTCTCCATCCCATGGCTGGGGCAGAAGCTGTACTGGTATGGGTCCTGTTACGTTATCCCGGAATTTCTGGAGCTGTTCTGCCGCTGCTCTCTCAGTTACCTTACCCAGAAACGAAAGGTTAGAGACTGGGTGGTAATTGGAAGGATCCACAGGATCCAAAGCTGTTTTCTTCAAGAGCGGTACAACCACAGCCTCTTTCAATCCCTCCGGGTAGACCCCTGAACCCAGGGACAGATTAACAATGTCTACCAGGGGCCCCGTATTCCCTCACCGCCGGCCTTCACCAGCCATGAGGGGACACACGGGTCTTAAGAGGCATGTGGTCGGCCTAACAGCAGCTAGAGTCCTGTCAGCATCGGCCCAGGAGAGTTGGCTGGAGTTGTCCAATACTGAATCCAGAGACGGCCAAGGGGCCTCCAGTTCACTTACTGTACCAACGTTGGCCGGGAGGTCATGGTGGAGTGACGAGGCTTTGTCCACAAAGAAGCTTGCGGAAGCCCTCACAGCTAATGACCAAATGCCTCACATTTCGAGTTCTCTCAGTGAGAGACGTTAAAGATCTAATTACCCTAAAGGATTGTGCTGGGTGAGAGCTAGCAGATGTGATGGAGGCTGTATAAAATTCTTTTTCAACAGCCTTCACCGCCACCTCATAGGATTTCGTAAAAGTCCTATAAGATGTTCTTGCAGCCTCATCACGAGTATGTTGCCGAGCTTCCTCTAGTTCGCCTGCGTTCCGTTGTATACCCGGGGAGGGGATTTACATTGGGAGCAAAGAGGATGTCAGGGAGTGATTTCATTGATGGCTTCAGAGAGACAGGAGTTCCAGTCCTCTAGCAGCACATCCAGTGAATCACTGGGGGGCATTCGATTCTGCAGGGCATTCTGGAACCCTATTGGCTCCCTTAGTCTCCATGGGAGACCATGAATCCGATCGCCACCTAGGTGGTGGGGGGGGGGCAGAGACACCCAGCCAGGCCTTCAGGGCAAAATGATCTGACCATGGCATCTCAACGTTAGCCATCAGATCCATATCCATCCCCATGCCGGAGATCAAATCCAGCGTGTGGCCTGCTTGGATTGATGTGTGGGACCCAGCACAACCTGAGAGAGCCCCAGTGCTGCCGTGGAAGACACTGGAACCCAGCGCCTGCTAAGAGGCAGCAGCGTCGGCCTGGACGCTGAAGTCCCCACGAGCGATCTGTCTTGAGAACGCCAAGGCCCAACCTGCAACTGCCTCCAGCCAGTTCGGTAGGCCGTCAGCCGGAGCGTTAGGTGTTCGGTACACCAGACAGGGCCAGGCTCTCCTCGGAGACCCACACAGTCCGTGCCAGTGATCTTTGGGAGGGGGGAGTGCCCTGGGGGAAAAACCCTCTCAGATGAGCATTGCTACCCCTCACCCCCGCCCCTCCGTTCCAAGACTGATGAGGGATCGTGAAACTGGGTGGGGTCAGCTCTTTTAAGGCAACTGTTTCGTCTACCCTTGTCCAGGTCTTGGTCACACAATCTTGTGCTGCAGTATTATCGATAGATAATATTACACACGACATCAGTATTCGGGGG